GGCGGAGCCCTGTCCCTGCGGTCCTGGTAGGGGCGTCTCTCGTCGCCTTCCCGAGTGCGTGCAGGTGGGAGGCCGCGGGGGCCGTTCAGAGACTAGACTTAGCGGAGCATGTGCGCTCCGAAGGCCCACAGTTCAGAGGAAGCCCATCATTCCCAGTCGTTCTGTTGTTAGGGTCAATTTTGCATAATATCTTTTTATTATATAGGATTGTCACATTAAGGTCTTTGATCCATTTTGAGTTACTTTTTATATATGGTTTTAGGTTATGGGCCTAATTATGTTTAATTTTTACCTGATGGTATGTTTTTCTTGATTTTTTATTTTTATTTTTTAATGTTTTTCATGATGAGGGGGGGTGGGAGAGAGAGAGAGAGAAATATCAATCATTTCAGTTGCCTCACATACCAACTGGGTACTGAACCTGCAACCTGGGCATATGCCCTGACCAGGAATCTAACCAGTGATCTTCTGGTGCACAGAAAAACATTCAACCAACCCACACCAGCCAGGGCAGTTCAAAAAAAATCAAGTAGAAAATGGGCAGAGCACCTAACAGACATTTCCCCCCGGTTAGACATACAAGTGGCCAACAGATACATAAAAAGATGCTCAACTTTACTAGTGATAAGGGTAGTGCAAATTAAAGCCACAAAGAGCCCTGGCAGGGTAGCTCAGTTGGTTAGAGCAACGATCAGATACACCAAGGTTGTGATCCATCCCTGGTCAGGGCACACACAAGAAACAACCAATTAAAAAAAAAAAAAAATGAAAGCATAAATAAATGGAACAACAAATCAATATTTCTCTCTTTTCCTCTTTCTCCTTTCCTCTCTTTCTAAAATCAATAAATAAAAAAATAAAAACAGAGATTAGAAAGAATTTTAAATAATGGACGGGGGGGTCTAAAAGAAAAAAAATGGGGAAAAGGAAAAAAAAAAAAGGGAGGACAGAACAAAAAAAGAACAGCTAAAACAGCCCACCTCCGCAGAGAGGATTGTTTGCAACGGCGCAGGGGCGGCAGCCACCCGCCTCTCCCACAGCGCTGCTTCCCAGGCCGGAAAACCTGCCCCTGCGCCTGACGTCATACGACTGCGCCCAGTGCGGGGAGGGCGGGACTTCCGGTCGCGGGTCAGCGACGGTTCCTGCGCGTGATTGGCGA